TGATCAAATTTGACCCGGACTGACAAAAAAAATGTACCTATGTATGCCTATATGATCAAATTTGACGCACGCTGACCAAAAATAAACTAATTACCAATTTCTATATGATCAAATTTTATCCAGACTGACAAAAAAAAATAATTACCAATTTCTATATGATCAAATTTGACCCGGACTGCAAAAAAAAAGTATACTAGTATCTAAATCAGAGGCTTGCAGTATACCATCTGATCAAGTTTGACCCGGACTGACCAAAAGATACATTTTGATGTGTGTTAATACAATTTTATATTGTCACCTTCAAAATAAGCTCTTTTCGAATCAATACAAATATGCCAACCCTTTTTGCAAAAAATTCAGGTATTGTTTTTTTTTTTTTTTTGTACGATTGTAGCATTTACGCGCTTCATACCAAAAACATTAACCAAAATGTAATCAAAACTTGTTAAGCCGATCTACAGGGTTTGTCCGGAAAGTAATGGGACTGAGTCGATTTAAAAAAATTTATTGAACCAATCGTTAGAATTATGCATGCTGTTTGGATCCCCTCTTTCGTCTCAAAATGTTTGTCTATCATCGGCCTTTTCAGCGGAAGCTGTTCGCAAGAAAGGCGGTGTGAGTCTGGGCGTTGTCGTGGTGCAACTTCCAATCGGCTCGATGTCTTGTCGGACCTGGTTGACCCTTCGTTTGAGTCTCTTGAGGATTTCCACGTAAAACTTGGCGTTGACGGTTTGTCCAGGAGAAACAAATTCATGGTGAACGATGCCTTTGATGTCAAAAAAGACAAATAGCATCGTTTTCACTTTGAATTTGCTCATTCTTCTCTTTTTGGGCTTGGAGACGCCGACGTGTGAGACTGAAGAAACACACCACTTCTTGCTAAAGCGACATATGGGTAAGCCGGCTTGATCATATCAAACGTCTTTGTCGCAAATTTACCGAGTTTTCGGCTTGCACCACTGACAGAAACACGTCGGCGAAAATGTTTGACCTGACTCTCCAGGTGCTGACCAACTGATCAGCCGCTTGTTCGTTAGCAATCGTGTGTTAGGAATCCAGTCGGTGCGCGCAAGCTCCGAAGTACAGTCGCGACGGAAGAAAATCATTCCTGTTCCTTTCCGGACAAACCCTGCATAAGAGCTGGCGAGATCCTCTGCTATTTTTAACCGCATTTTTTAATTAATTAGTTAAAAATTAAGAGAGTATGATGGACGACCGAATCAAGGAAATATTTCTGATCGTAATTAAGTAGGCTGGTTAAAATATACTTAATTAGACGTATGAACCTCTACAAAAAACTCAGTGAGCATTGTACGCCCTGTGCGCTTGCGAATTCCGATTCCACATTCATGAGCATTATAACTGCCGATGAGAGATGGGTTTATAAGTTTGACATGCAATATCTGGGTACTTTTTCTTACAATGTATTTCGTATTAAACTGCAACTTGTTTCTGGCCACAACTGTTATCAAAACTTTGTTACAATTAGGTTCATGAAGCTCATCCTACCTCTGGAGAGACAAATTATTATTTTGAATACAAAACTTATGTTATGAGGTTCCGAGGTTTTGGTCTAATTTATATCTTAGTACTAAATTATTTGAAGCAAATAACTTTCGAAATAATATGTTCCTCATTTAGTAGTCGAAACAGTATCAGAATTTAGTTCCACAAGAACACATAGAACACATATCTGCACGTAAATAAATGAACTGCTGCCATGCACTACAATGCAAATTCAATATGTATTTTGTAAGCAAAGAGCAGACAGATAAACAGAACAAAAATATGCTTTTATTCTTAGATTTAGTTTTGAGTGATATACTATATATATGATTGCACAGTCACTACAAGAAGTGTTCATTATATTTTAAAAATAAGTTGTCTTATTTTACTTATGCACCCGAGTGTACACGCTTACTTCAAATCCTCTATCTGTGCGCAGCAAAGTAACAATAAACTATTGAGATTGACGTGATCCGATAAGTGGTCGTGAAGCACTTGAGAATCCAGTTCGGAATTCTTCAGCGAATTGAAGAAGTCATTGACGTTTCTTCGCTTTAATGAGTGCCAACTATTCATAATTACATGTCGAACAACAACAACAAAAGCAACGTGTAGAAATTTGTGTCAAACAAATTATTGTTTGTTTTTATTTTACAACATTTACAACAAATTAAAATATTAAACGTGTGACTAAATGTGTTTTTGGTGGATTTTCAACTTTCTATGTTTTTCTATTTCGTTCACATTTCACTTTCGCTTTTTTGCTTTTGTTTCATATATTTTACACTTATATGTATATATAATATATGGTTACATATATATTATATGCATACATATTTAAAAACATATTTCACTTAGAAAAGTTTTTTAGCAAACCAAAAGCGATTCAAATTGGCTCCTCATTTGGACATGCCTTTGATATACTTTCAAAACTRAAGCCGGAGGCGCATTTGGAATATTCTATTCATCTTTGTATGAATTTAAGCGTCGTGAATTCGACCACCGTTTGTTTGATGTCAGAAAATATGACTTGTCTTGTCATCGTTCACATGGAAAATCAAAACTATCGGAGCGGACGTTATGGCCAATAATATCGCTGTCATCGGCGTGCGCCAGCAGTTGTACATTCTTGTAGAAGATTGTACCTTCCTGCAGCTCGAATTATTTTCTCCAGCAATTGAAGATGTCGCACCTCGTAAAGTCCTTCCCGATTCTGAGAGAGTTTTCGGTAGTAATCAAGGTCAGTTTACACAGCCGTTTTGCGGGGATGCCAAATTCAGACATAGCGGCATAAAGGCAGCTTCTTTTCGTGCTGTCAAAATCAAATTTAAAATCAACCAAGACGTGCTGTGTGTCGATCCTCTTCTCACGGGTATTGGCGCATAGTGAATTATTGTCAGATGTTGATTTTCCAGGCCTAAAGGCACACTGATAAGTTCTAATCAGTTTATTGACGGTGAGCTTAAATCTTTCACATATTACGATCGATAAAACCTTATATGCGATATTGAAGAGTCTTATCTATCGCGTCTACTGGAATTGGGCAGACCAAACTTAAATTCAAATCATCGGGCATGCTTTCGTCCGGCCATATTTTACAAAGAAGCTGATACATGCTACTTATTAGTTCTTCCCCGCCATATTTAAATAGCTCGCTTATCGCTTTGTTGTTTTTCAGACGGTTAATTGTCTTTCGAACTTCTTCATGGTCGGGCAATGAAACCTCAACTCCATCGTTATCGATTCGGGTATCCGATAAAAAATAATAAAATGGCAATAGATCAGGTGAATCCAGAGAGTGGTTGATGAGAGAATTTGTGATTTTTTGACCAAAAACTCGTTCAATATTTTGGGCTTCAATGAATTCATGGCGAACAAAACGCACACACACAAATCAAAGTTAACTGAGACAGAAACAGCTCCACCCTCATACTACTACATGCCGCAGCCAGACTTTAGTCGAAAAAGATATCAATAAAGTAGAAGCTTATAATATTAGTTCATTACTAAAATAAATTCGACTACACATCACTAATTTCCAACCATTGGCTATTTTACTATATACATATATATATATATATATATATCGCAGATAGTCTAGGTCTTTGAAAAGCATAAATTGAATTTAATAGTTAAACCTCTCTAATATTTAAATTATTTATAGCTTTATGTCTGCCTTGATGAGCGATCTATTGTGAATGTATGTATGTTCAAGTATATCACTCTGCCTTCCTTAATGACACTTTTATAAGCGATGAAGTAATTAATAGTTTATGATGTTATTTTTCAAAATTGGGAACCTTTGAAGAGGATTTTGACACAAAAACTAAAACAATCGTGCGGGATAGAGATGTAATGTACAGGGTTTTTGAATTGCGATGTTGGTATTCTGTCGCTTTAATCAAGTTGGAGAAATCTACTAAGTCCTTCTATCCAAACCGTTACCGCAAAAGAAACCTTGGAAAATATAGTTTTTTTACCAACTTAGAGATTATTTTTAAAAAACGTTGTTTTAATATTTTGCCTTTAATTTTTGCGCTTAATGTAAAAACACTTTAATGACGTTTTGATCTTTAAAAGCCAAAGCGCTTTAAACAACGTATCCGTACTTCGAATTTCTGACTATCACTCGGTAGGTCGTGAAACTAAAAGTCAATCGTAGGAAAAATGCATTCCTAATCGGCTTGTAATGTCAAACCTAATGACGGTTCAATTTGAAAACCGATTTCATGCGACTATCGACTAGGATAGTCCAACGAATTGTAGAAGTCATCCGAAGTATCTTACAAACTTTTATATCTCCCAATGGTAAATGGTCCAACGGATTCGAAGAGTCATCACAAAAAATGTCTTAAAAACTTCTTTATCTCTCACAAGTTCAGCCGAAAAGCTGTCCTCATCTCATCTACTATTGACTCCGATCGAAAGAAGATCCAACGGTGTTGAGGAGTCGTTAAAAAAAATTACTTAAACATTTCTATATATTTCACAAGTTCGTCCAAACATCTAACTTTTCTCATCTACTATTGACTGGGATTGATAGAAGGCGAAACGGTGTCGAGAAGTCATCACAAAAATGTCTCAAACACCCTTTTATCTCTCACAAGTTCAGCCAAAAGTCTGTCGTATTTTACCTACATCCCGCCCTGATTGTGTGGCCCTTTGATACGGTTCTTCTACGCTATATGATTTCTTCTATGTAGCAAATTGTTTAGCTGTCAGTCACTCGAAGAAATTACTTTGTACGTGTGTATGTGTGTGAATGACTAATGCAAGTGAGCAAGCATAGCTGTAAGTTGCAGCGTAGTGCTCTAGTATCTTGTACATGCTCGGGACGCATTCAATTGAAATGAGTCTTCACTAAAACAAAAAGATCAATTGCAAAAGGAGGAATAAATGAACGTGTGAACTCATTTAAAAATAGCCGCTACACTAACATATATACACACAAACATACCAACCCTTCCTAATGTCGCTTTCTGTTTGCTTTACAGTTGCCGTTGCAACGTCGGTGGATATGGAAGATTAGACTGAATTGTGCAGCCAACGCTCGAGAGGCGTGCGTGTGCGTTTGCCCGTATCACTATTTTTTTTTTTTTATTGTTTCTTCAACGAAATTCAACTGAAAGTGTTAGAAGCGCGTAAAAATGTTTTCACCGGCGTCCTCGGCACACACACATCGTGGCAATAAGCGAGAGGCCAAATTGAATGCTACAACCGATTTGGATGATGACGATGACGACAGCAGCATCATTGATGACACCGATGTGGATGTAGCCGTCGATGTGGACGTCAACGAGGTGCCCACACAAAAGCCACATTTTCTAGACGATGCCATGCCGCCACCCGAAATGGTCGCTGACTTCGAACGCGTGCTAAGTTTTGGCGCAAAAAGCGATGGTGGCACACATACGACAGCCGTTCCTAGCAGCGGTGAGCAATTGAAAATGGATAAAAAGTATGAACGCGACGGTGAGATTAGTGACTATGAGTTGGCCGCAAGTGGGTATACAAAGAAAGAGTTCACACAGGACGATAATACGTTGAATCTGCCAAGTGGCATTGGCAAGAACACATTTGCGAAACCAAAGCATTTTCTCGATGAGAATCCCATACCGCCAGACTACATGTTGCTGGCGACCGCCGCTGACCATGACTTGCGGCGCGAGCACCGCAGCCTAGACCGCAATTTCGAGCGACAAGACGAACAGGAGTCCGCACTCCTTGCCGGCCAATTGATGAAGAGCAGCAGCAGTAGTGGCGGTGGTGGTCGCAAGAGTTCACTGGATCGCGGCGGTTATGGCGGTGGCGGAGGTCATAGTAATGGCAGTCACAGTGGCAGTATGTCGAGTTCGCGCACATCACGTGAGCGCAACAAGGAGCTTACTTCCTCGTACACATTGTCGCGTTTTCTACACAGCGCCGAAACACCGTCGCCACCACCGGCGCTGCAGCGCAGCATACCGAAAGGTGGCGCTTGGGCGAGCAGCAGTGGCAGCGGCAGTTGCAGCTTTGACAGACTTTATGGCAGCTTGCCAATGGCACATGCCAGCGGCGGCGGCGGCACAAGTGGTGTTGGCGATAGCAGCTGCGCGCTAGGGGTCGATGACATTGTCGATGGCGACCGGCTGGGTCCGAAAGTGCAGTGTGTGTACTCGCTGCTCTCGATGTTGGGCTCCAATGACCCGTCGGAGATGTCAAAGAAGTTTCTTGAATTGTCGCGCACGCCCGAAACATGCACTGCGCTGCGACGTGCCGGCTGTGTACCGCTGCTCGTGCAAATGATGCACTCCGATGGCGATGATAGTGTGCGAAAGTGCGCCAGCATGGCACTGCACAACGTCGTACACAGTCATGTGGATGAGAAGACTGCAAGGCGTGAGGCGAAAGTGTTGCGTTTGCTCGAACAGATATTGGATTATTGTAATTTCTTGAAAACGCTGCTGCAGAGCGGTGGCGAAGCTATTGCCGATGACTCCGAACGGCATCCGCTGGCGGCGATATCGTCATTGATGAAGGTGAGCTTCGACGAGGAGCATCGTCATGCTATGTGCGAGCTGGGTGCACTGCAGGCAATACCGAACTTAGTGCATTTGGATCACGCAGTGCACGGACCGAAACCGGAGGATCAGTGTTGCAATTCCTTGCGGCGTTACGCACTTATGGCGCTTACAAATCTCACATTCGGCGATGAACACAACAAGGCTTACTTGTGCAGTCAGAAATTATTTATGGAGGCTTTGGTGGCACAGCTGGACTCGGCACCTGACGATTTACTGCAGGTAACTGCCAGCGTATTACGTAATCTGTCGTGGCGTGCCGACAGCAATATGAAGGCGGTGCTGAATGAGATTGGCACGGTGACGGCTTTGGCGAACGCCGCTATGAAAAACAAAAGTGAGAACACGCTCAAGGCGATATTGTCGGCCTTATGGAATCTATCTGCGCATTGCAGCACCAATAAGGCGGAGTTCTGTGCGGTAGATGGCGCGCTCGCCTTTCTCGTCGACATGCTTACCTATGAGGGACCCAGTAAAACTTTGAAGATTATCGAAAATGCCGGTGGCATACTACGTAACGTCTCTAGTCACATCGCAGTGCGCGAGCACTACCGACAAATACTACGGGAACGCAATTGTCTTTCGATACTGTTGCAGCAACTTAAATCCGAGAGCTTAACGGTGGTGAGCAACTCTTGCGGCACACTGTGGAATCTATCGGCGCGCTGCCCGGAGGATCAGAAATTTCTTTGGGATAACGGTGCAGTACCAATGCTTCGTTCACTGATACACTCCAAACACGCCATGATCTCGGAAGGCAGCGCCTCAGCGCTTAAGAATTTACTCAACTTCCGACCGGCAGTGCAGAGTCAAAACCAACTAGATCCAATCGCCCGTTCGATGGGTCTACGAAAACTCCCAACGCTAAATGTGCGCAAACAAAAAGCGTTACAACAAGAACTCGGCGGCAAACAGCATGCTGAGACCTGTGACAATTTGGACATCAGTGGAAGTGGTGGCATAGCAAAAGAAGATGGTCAACTGCTGCAACACACCGCTTTGAGTGTCGTAATGCATGCGCATCGTCAGCGTTATGTCGCCGCAGCAGGTAGTGCTGTGCCGCCCGGTACTTCAGTGCGACTTACGCGCTCCGCCATGCTAACTAAAAGTGAAAGTCGCGACTCAGTCTTTTCCGCGAAGTCAGATACTGCATACGAGAATTTGATGCGCTCCCATTCGGCATCAGACGCCAATCGTAAAAAGCTGCCATACAGCGGAGCTGCGGCAGTGACAGTGTACTCGCTGGAAAATGATGCAGAGTCCACAGATGTGGAGCAGCCCATCGATTACTCGGCCAAATATTGCGAAAAAGATGCAAAAACGTCGAACGAGCTCACAACAGAGCCGGCCTCGGGCACTAACAACACCAATGTCACATATCAGGAAACTGATTTAGATCAGCCGACAGACTTCAGCTTGCGCTATGCTGAGCATCAAATTGAAACCGAATTGGACGTGTTACCCTCTGAGCAGGCGGGCCGCAGCAGTAATGTTGCTAAAAGAAGCGGCGCAGTCGAAGGCAGCACAACAGCACCGAATCGCGCACAGACAGCAGTAAGCGATGGTAACGAAATACTGCTTATACTCGAGGATACCGTAAAATGTTACCAAACGGAGGACACACCTTACGTTATATCCAATGCTGCTTCAGTTACGGACTTACGGCAAGCGGTAGTCAAGTCTGAAAGCACCGCAACAGCAGAGACTACAAAACCCACAGAGAAGCCGAAGAAATACCAAAGAGTACAACAGATGCACAGTAATGTCGGCGTACAGGGTAACGCCGCTTATGGTTCGGGCTCCTATACACCCGAAAAGCCCATCAATTATTGCGAAGAGGGCACGCCCGGCTATTTTAGTCGTTACGAATCGCTCAGCAGTCTGGATGAATCACCGCCAACACAACAAACTCAGAATAAAGAGGCTAAAGTGCCACATACTAAAACCGCCAGCAACAATTCAGCCAAAAAAAGTAGCAATGAACTTGATGCTGATTTAAATGCTCACACACCTGTGACACATGTCAATGTGCCGGTGGTGCAAAGTAGTGGCAATGCCACCACAATGAATTCGGCACAGGAGACGCCGCTAATGTTTTCGCGTCACAGCTCGATGGATTCGCTGGTCGGGGAAGGTGAGGATGAGATTGGTGTTTGCGATGACAAGAGCTCGGTAGTTAGTGACTTCAGTCGCCTGGCAAGCGGCGTCATTTCACCGTCCGAAATTCCTGACTCACCTACCCAGAGCATGCCCCAATCGCCACGTCGTCACAGCAACGCTGGACAAGTGAACAGCAGCGGCGGGAGTGGCATTGGTGCGTTTCTGCAGGGCGTTTCGCCGAGAGCTGCACCACGTGGTTCCGCTGTTGGCATTGCTAGCGCTAGTGCTGGCATCGGGCTGCGCGGTAATGCTGCTGTGGGCGAGGAAACAAAACGACCACTGCGTAGCGTCTTCGAAGATGATTTGAGCACTTTCAATGTTGAGAATACACCGGCGCAATTCTCGTGCCGCACCAGTCTGAGCAACCTGAGTATACTGGATGATGAAAACAGCCTGCCACCATCGAGGCAACCCATTGAGGGCGAGAACAACACACAGCCCGCTATCGTGTCCGAAGGTTTGTTGCGATTGCTCTTATTAGAACGCATATAACTTTCTTACATTCTTTATAACAGGTGAGGAAGAGGAGTCGACTAACAACATCGACGACATACTGCTCGCCAATTGCATTAATATGGGAATGAATCGCACAACCATAACAGCTGCCGCGTCCAAGAAATCAATGGCGCGTGCAGCACGCAACCAAGCCGTTGGAGACGCACAGTTACCCGCCGATGAGCCGAGGCATTACTATACCGAAGATACACCGGCGTTCCTCTCAAAGGTTGGCAGTAATACAAATTTGTCAGCCTTATCTATCTGCTCCAGCAATAATATGGATGAATTGAAGGAACCACAAGGGCCGGCCACAACTAGCGGTACAGCCGATAACCGACACTCGCTTACCTTGTCGGATGACGTGTCATCAAATGCCTCGGAGAGTGGTGCCACCGGTCAATCATTCGATTTGTTGCAGCAATGCATTGAAGTCGGTATGAAAAAACCGAATACACAAACGAAAACACACTCAAATCACGCCACTGTGGCACAACAGCGACCGATGCGTCCAGCAACGACGGCCGATCCCATAGCCATGTTGCGACGTGGTGGCACCGCATTGCCGCCATATTTACCTGTCTCAGATGAAATGAGTAAATATTTGGTGGAGGATTCACCCTGCAATTTCTCTGTGGCTTCGGGTCTATCTAATCTGACTGTAGGCTCTAGTTTAGTGGGACCCGCTGTGACGCTAAAGGGCAGCAATGCGAGGTGAGTTAATAAACCACCAAAAACAACAACAGTAACCCGACTGTGGTCTGTATGATCCGAATTAAGTCTGCCTTTTTTAATTTTTAATATTTCAAGCATTGTTTCAATTAACTAATTTACTCATATTATCAAGCAAAAGCTCCATAATTTTTCACTTATTCAATAATCCATATTTATTTATTATCTTTTTCTTAAAATTTAGCGCTGAAAACTCTCCAAACATGCCTGCAGCTGCAGAGGCTCCGCGGGCTAAGTCCGTAGCGCCAGAAGAGAGTGCGCGCTTGGAACAAAAATGGCAGGATGATTCGCTTAGTTCGCTGTCCATCGACTCTGAAGACGATACGAACTTGTTAAGTCAGGTGAGTAATGAATTAAATGCATAGCAGTACAAATAAATTAACAACAACACTGTTCGTGAAATTTTTTACTTTTGCTCCGCGTTACAGGCTATTGCCGCTGGTTGCAATAGACCCAAATCGAATCTTGGTTTTAGTAGCACATCGTCTACCAACAACAATAACAACAACAATCGCAATAAGCGCATATCACTGTCCGCTTCACAGCCAATACCCATCAATGCGGCCACCTCGTCATCGTCACTCAATTCCAGCGCCACAGCACGACACTACCAACGACAGCAACAACACACAAGCGACCGCAATGCCGGTCACACTTCCAGCACAGCACACCGCTATCAAAATGGCAATGATTCTTACAGTTCGGTGGATTCGAGCGACTCCAATGATAACCAAGCCAAATCACTCTTTGAGCTGTGCATACGCACCGGAATGCATAAGCCTACACGTGACGGTGGCAATCACCGTCGCCAGCATCTAATGAGTAATCGACGCAGTGGCAACAGCACCACCACGCAATCGAATCCGAATTTGAAACAATTCGATTCGTTGCCGCTGCAATTGTATCAGCAGACGAAAACAGCGCCTTTGCCGACCAATACGTCCACGGCTTTGCCGTGCACAACCACAACGGTTAATCGTCATTTACGCGAACGCGAGCGCAAAGATGAAAAATTGCTGTTGGAATGCATCAACACTGGCATTTCGAAGAAGATCGGCAACAATGCTATCGGTGGCGCCGGGAGTGTAGGCGGTAGTGCTGCGGCCGCGTCCGTTGGCAGATACACTGCCGACAATAGCGCACATTCAATGTCTATGCCAATATTTTATGCGGGCGATGGCAGTTACAGCACTGGGACCGGGTCAAAAAACGTGCTGGCTACGTCTGCAGCTGCACGGGCGCTGTGTCACCCACACGCGGCTACTTTATCCTCAAATGTGCTCAGCACAGCAGCTCCAGACGTAACAAAGACGAACAACACCGGCTACAACAACAGCAACTGCACCACCATCAGCAGCAACAGCAACAACAACATTTGCAACGACACCAACAACACGTGCAACAGCGTGAATTGTTGGGAAGTGAGGGACACCAACAGCGTCGACATCATAGACGCAGTAAAAAATCCAGCGATGGCCACCACCATCACAGCACCCAGCGACGCAAATCTTCCAAATCACGCGAACGCAACAACCGAACAGAAAACGAACAGTACTGGGTATAAGCAAGAGCAAGAGCCGGAACCGGACGACTTAAATAGTCTATCTACTTCGCTAGACAACACTGCAACCAGCGACGATTCGAATGAGTCGTTCATTATAGAGACCACAGTGTCACTGGAGATGCGTCAATCGCGCTCTTCGCCGCCACTTACCACATCGCAAAAACACAAGGATCCCGATTTAATGTTAAAGTCCGTGGAGCGGCTAACGTTGGAGTTTGTCTCTTCAGCAGAACAACTACGTACCAATGCCACTACTGTAACTGCGGACTGCATTGCTGCTGAGCAACAGCGTGCGACATCTGTTGGCACGAGTATATCCATCGGCGGTAACTCGAATTCCAACAACACTTGGAACGAGGATACCTGTCCCAATGATGATGTCTCGTTCCCCAGCGTCAGCGTCACCGCGCCTGTTATCGCTTCATTAAACTATGACGACGAAGACGATGATGATGATGATGATGATGCAGACCAGGCAACCGAGGCGGACCACAAGGATTTGCATGATTTTGCTGAAATTACACCAATAAATGAAGAACAGCCGCAACCGTCCCTCTTGCTACTGGAACGCGCTGAAACCGCTACACAGCCCAGTTCATTGGAAACGGAAACCGAAACCGACACTTTGGTGAATGAAGGTCGCAGCCTGGATATACCATGTTATATTGCAACGCAAGAGTCGACCACCAGTAGCGGCCTAAACTTCCAGCTGGGCGGTGCTGTACAATCAGCAGCGCTTTCTCTGGGCGGCGGCCATCATATGTTGTATGGCAGTAACAGCAATGCAGCTGCTGCAGCAGCACAAGCCGCCGCGGCCGCAGCCGCTGCTGCAATGACGAACTCCACCATCATTGCTATTGAAGCGCGCGCTCTAGCTGAGAATCTACAGCATGGTGGCAGGGTGAGTGCTGACGATGATGAAAGCATCGATTTGACATTTAGCATGAACAGTTTGGATTTGGAGAACATACGTCCACCTTCTGGTATGGAATCGCTTAACATATCTGGCTACTACCAGCAGGAGTCACTTTCCAATACATACCACTCGCTTGGTGTGCTGCAGCGTCGTAGCGGTAGCACCCCGCAAAGTCCACAAATGATGCTGCGCTCACCGAAGTTTCCACGCAAGTCGCTGCCGCATGGTTTGGTCGCGAAACGCGCACTAGGCCAACTGCCTGCTCATCTCAGCGGCAGCGCGGAAAGCGTAAATTCCAGTTGTAATATGTTGGAGAACATCAAGCCGCCATCATTAATGGACGAACTATTGGATTCCATGATCAGTGTGGCAAGCATACAATCGGAGGTGGCAGACGGCGAATGCAGTTTGGCTACAACTCTATCGGCTGCCTCGAATTATGAGACAGCGGCGGGTGGACAAATGGAGTGTGCTGACTATGATGATAATACCGTTACGCTGCAAAGTTGCTGCGAAACCATGCCGCACGATATGGATGTAGAAGAAAACTCTTTTCATAGTGGCGCCGGCAGTACACCACTGCCAACCGATGATTATGAATTCAGTTCTGCCGAGTCGACACCACAAAAATCGGCTGCTTCACCAACGCCGCCGAATGGTGAAAAACGCACACTGACGCCTAAACAGAAGCGGAAAGTGGCAAAGGATCGCTATCGTACCTACACGATATCCTCGAATGCGGTAGTAAATGAGGAGGAACGTCGGCGTTTGGAGCTTGATGAGGCACAAATGACAGACGAAACGTTACAGATCGAAATCATCGAAACGGAGGGTGCCACTAATGGCAGGTGAGTTTTTAGCACGTTATGCGAGGAATGTTTTTTTCGTTCTCAAATGGAGTCAACTTTACAATTTTAGACTTCGTGTACATTTCCTATATGAATTAAATTATAATGTTGCCTAAATGTAAGCGCATTTAAAAATTAGCGCGTTCATTTTATTGCTTACAATTAAATTTTTAATTTTATCGAACTACTTTGATTGCAGCTCCAGCAGCCGCCGACGAGCAGATGCCGAACGCTATCGAACGCAAACAATTGTCTATACAACTGAAACCACAACCACAACGACAACCACAATCACAAGCAATGAACTGGAAGCGCAAGAGATCAACGCCAGCGCGGATGAATCTGCCGGACCGTATTCTTTGACTTCCACAGACGACTGCACTTCGGAAAATATGTCTTCGCTACGTGAATTGACACATAAGTTCAAATTCATTAATATGCCCATTCATACATTGAAATCCGCACCAGAAGCAGAAACCACCGAGGTGAGAGGAGCTCCCGATGGTGGTGACTGCTTAACCAGCATGGAAGGCGATCAAAATTCGGACACAGAGTCGCGTCATGATCAACAAGAAGCATACAATCGTGGTGAAAACTATGCTGATCGAAGTGAAGAAGAAGAAGCAAAAGAGGAAAGCGATTCAGAGCATCAATCTGTAGTAAAGACACCAGCGCGTGCGCGTATCGCCAAACCTATTGAAATACCTGACATACAATCAGTCGCCAATGCCGCTGACGACCAGGCGAAAATTGTGCGCGGCCGCAAGAAACCGGCCTACATTTCACCTTACAGCATACAGTATCAGCGTACCATATCGCCGCAGACACGTGTCGCTACAAATAAAATGCTGACGCAGCAGTCAACAACAACAACGCAGGCCAAGACCGCCAGCACACGCTTGGCGTCACCGAACAAAGCGCAGACGCACGCAAACGTGGACGCAAAAACCAACGTGGCACCACCACCTCCTCTGGAAAGACAGGGTACCTTCGTGCAGGAGGAGCCAACCATTGCAACATGTCAGGTGCCGGTTGTTGTGTCGGAAGTCAAGGCATCTTCTGCACCGAAGGCTGCCACAACTGCGGGCGGTAGCCCACAGCGTTCTTCGAAATTACCAACAAAACGCGCAACCGCCGCGGCCGCTTCCAAATCCAACACAGCGCTCATACAGCCAGCCACTACACGAAAAATACCGATTGCAACAAAAACCAATTCACCCAAACATCGCAAAGTCACCGCCACTATCGGCGCGACTACAAGCGCCAGCATGCCGCAGCGTTCGAACAGCAATGCGGCCATACGTGTGACCAGCAGCGCGGCGCGCATAACACGCGTATCAGCAACAACGCCGCCAACGCGCAGCAACTCTAATCTGAACAGTCGTGACACAGCCGCAACAGCGGCGGCGAGTGCCACGAAGAGCGCGGCAGCGAAAATCAATCAAGCGCAAAGTCGCATCGCCAACATTTGGAAGCGTGTCAATGATGCTAAAAGCAAGCAGCAAGAGCCGTACAAAGCGCCGCGCATCAATATTGCACGCGGCTCAGCGGCCGTGGTGAGTAAGTTGAAGTCACAGCAAACGAAGTCGTCGCCCGCGTTAAATGCGCCGAAGACAATATTGCCGGCGCGCACGACTGCGCCACAACAACAAAAGAAACAAACGCTGATACGTAGCTCGACATTTGATAACACGCCGAATGGCGACGTGGGCGCGCTGCAAAATGTGCCACCGAAAATGGCAGTCAATGCTGGAGGTGGCATGTCAGTTGCGCAGCGCGGAGGCAGAAAATAAGTTTCGTGTAAAATTTTTGGCTTGAAAATGCACAAAATGCTCAAATAGTAAAAAATGTGCGGCGCCGTGGGGAGTAATGTCAAGTAAAGACATTTGAGCGACGCGACATCAGAAAAATATTTGTTTGGTGGCTAAGTGCGCTTCTGCTCTCCGATTTGCGTTTAACTTATGCCAAACGCAAAAGAACAATAACAAAAACCCTCATTTGAACAACTTTTAGCAAATCAATCAAATCAGTTAGTCAAAACTAAGCACTTAAGCGCATTTAAGTATCTCTTTTAAGTTAGTATCTAATCAAAGTAGTGAAGTAAATATATACAAAGAAAGGACCGAAAGCAAAAATCACGAATGTTCTCACACTACACACAATTCGTTTGGGGGCGACTAATTTCACTGCATGGTAGGCCAAATTATAAAATAGTTTAGAAAATACGAAAAATGGGACAGCGCCGCGCGTTAAATGCGCGCACAAGTAGTCAAATATATACAGAACATGTACATATATATATGTATAACTATGTAAGCATTAATGAAATACTTGCGAAAGCATAGAATTTTGATAAGAGATAACGGTAAACGTTCGTTGCATGCAACGCATATAAATGCGCATGCTTGCTGGCTATCGATCGCTTGTAAGCGTTTACGTAAATTCTTGCCAGAAGAAAAAATATAGCAAGAAAGTGCGTTCTTTACAAATAATCAAACATTTATTTAATAATAAATACATTGATTTTATTACGAATATTTGTAATGAAAGTTTGCGTCAAAAACCGGTACACTTACTGTCTTGTCAACACTCGTTTTAATCACTCGTTGTGTGTGTGTGTGAGTGTGCCTAACAGCCGGTTGCTAAGCAAAAGTTTAATCACACTCCATTAGTGCACAAAAATGAATTATCGCTAAATTAATGATTCACAGGTAATTAAAATGCCAAATTTTAATTGCTTCCGTAATGGCAAACAACGTGTCTTCGTATACTTCGGCATTTGAGGAAAAGGTTTTTTTTTCCAAACTCGATAATAGAAATATGCTTTTCGCGCTTAGTTAATGACTAAAAATATATTTGTGTGTGAGTAAAGCTGTTATATTTGGTATTAATTACACAGTTGGCATATATTATTTGGTTTGTCTGTACTAACTGGAATATACCTAGTACATATATGGTACTTTAATATGTTAGTTACCACACAATGCGCAAACTTTGTTGAGCAAAAATTATTGAAATGTGTTCAATGCTTGGTTTCAGCGTTTAATTTCATACTTTATCAGACTTAAAAATTGAAATAGACAAATTTTTCTTGCTAAATTGTCTTCATTTCAATATGCAGTTTGATAAATTTGAATTTGAAATTCACTAGCCTTACAATCGAATGCAGAAACGCTGGATTTCTAATTATTTTTTAATTTATTAAAATGCTTAGAAATCCAGTTTTCGAAGTACAAGTTTCCATTGTGTTTTTGTTGAATTCTTTAAAAGCTAACCCTTTTTATTTTTGAAAAATTTAAAAGCATTTTAATGATTTATTAGTGTAGACTGACATAAATTAATTGAAATGCTTTTAATTTTCCATAAATTCCTCTTCAAACCTATTTCAATGTTTGCGCTCAACAAAACAGCCTTAAATTGAAACCAAATTAATTACCTTATTGTTTTTAAAATGTTTTGGCTCGTTCATTTTTACTTAATTTTAGCGCGTACTCCTTACTAGTGTGCAGTCTATAGGCGGCTGTTTAACAATTATTTATTATTGTCCAACATAAATATGCAAAAACAAAATATATATAAAATATGCTGCAAGAATTTGGTGCACAATTGGTGGGTTTTTCAAATGGTGTATGGTGTATGAGCTAGCAACAACTAATTTTTTTTATTGCAGAAAGTCTCAAAAACAAATTGCGACACAAAAAAAGTAGTTTTGAAAATTCTAAAAACAATTTAAGCTCAAAAAAATATTTTTCATATTTATTGTGTGTAATAGATAAATAAATATATATAAAGTAAAAAACAAACATTTGT